TAGGAAAAGCCACATTCCTGGACTCTGTGTTGCTAGGTCTCGGCTTGCGCCTCGACTTAGCAATCTTCACAGTCGTCCAGGAATGTTAAGCTTTTCCTACCCGGTAAACAATGTACTAATGCTAATATAGAATATATGAAGTCAGGAAATAATGCCCGAAGAATAGAAGAAGGGAATTATAGTAATAATATTAAAACAAAGAGACCATAGAAAATATACAAACGACCGAGCAATTAATTTACTGAATGTAACATATAAAGTAAGGATTGGTATAACTAGAGACAGACTAACAATATACACAAAACAAATCATAGGAGATTACCAGTACGGTTTCAGAAAAGATATAATCATAGTAGCAACAGTTAAAAGGCCAATAAAGAAAACCTTCTAAGAAATAGAAAACGAAGCCAAACTGAGAGGACTGGAAATAAATGAAAATAAAACAAAATACATGAACGTAAGCAAGAAAAAGAAGTCACAAATGACAAAACTGACAATAGGCGCACACGGTTTCGAAGAGGTTAAAACGTTCAAATATTTGGGAGTAGTAGGCAACAGAAGAAATGAAAGTAGATATGAAAATAAGAATTCAAGCGGAAATACAGCGTCCTGTAGAAATAAAAAAATGATTAGAGATAAAAAATAAGCCGAATCATAAAAATAAAAATCCACAAAACGACCATAAGACCAATAGTCGTATATGCTGCAGAGACGTTTACATTAACAGCAAGAGAAGAAGAACAACAAAGTTTTTGAGAGGAAGATTATGAGAAAAATATTGGGACCAAAGAGGGAAAACGACAAACGTTTTGAGCGCCATCAAAAAATTAAGACCGACCTACATTTTCATTATTACTGACAGGATAATATTGAAGCTAATTGATAATTTCTATATTATCAAAATGTCGTTAGCTAGTCTGCGTGCGATCGAATTCACACATTTAATTTGTTGTTATTAATAATACCTTTTTCTTTCTTTTATAGACGTTCGCCGGGGAGTTCCTTCGTCGAGGGAATCCAGACGAGACGTAGAATTCGTTTTATTTTTATTTTATACGGCGGAGAATTTATTTTATTTTTTTTTTATTGTACATACATTAAATTAATAGACATATTTTTATTTAAACCTGTGTTTTACTGAGTCTGTCGTCCCGAAAGAGCTACCTGTTATAAAGGCTCGGCCACACAGAGCGCTATGTTCGCTACGTACGCGATGTTCGCTATACGACGAAAATATATCTTCCGTTGTGGGACAACGAGACTGGCCACACAGATCCGCGTACGCTATGTTCGCGATGTTCGCTATGTTAGCTGCGTCACAGTATAACGAGGTTCCAAAAGGTATAAAGTGGAACCTTTTTTATACTGTGGCTGCGTCGTTGAATGTTTTGTTGTCGGATATATTTTTATTCGTCGCCGAGTACGGGCTTCCACAGTAAACGGTCCAACGTATGTTTTGGTTTTTATTTACGCCCGCCGCGCCGTTGCAAGTCTAGGTGGTGTCGACGCGTATTGTTAAACAAACAGTAAACGAACATGGAGTTGGAAATTTTAATCGAGGAAGTTAAACAACGACCATGTTTATGGAAAAAGTCCTTGGATGATTATAGGAATCAAAATTGTAAGGGATAATGCGTGGGAGCAGATTAGTAAAGTTTTACATAGACCAGGTAAATACATAATACATTATATAATTATATTATAATACTAATTATTATAAAATATTTTTTAAACTATGCGATTCACTACTCTTTCTTGCCATTCCACTCGCCCTTATCAGACATAAAGTACTCAATGAAAGAAGTTCTAGCCCCTAGGGCTTCCCTTGTTGCATTTCTTGCAGTACCAGCACGCATTTGAACTAATTGCTGTACTACTTCGCCTACCTCCTCTTCGTCCTCTTCGTTGGCCGGAACACTGGCCTGAGTTAACAATGATGCCCGTAGGTAGTTATGCAACACTACCTTAGCTTTGACAATTTTATTAGCAAGTTCATGACGACACTCTAGTGGATGATGATATTCCCTCCAAGTATTAGAAAGAATACCAAAAGCATTTTCAACGGTATTCCTGCTTCTTGAAAGTCTGTAGTTGTAAATTCGCTCTGCTTCAGTGAGTCGTCGGCCTGTTCTCGGAAAAGGTCTCATAAGGTATCTTTTAAGGGAAAAAGCTTCATCCCCCACTATGACGTATGGCAAAGAGACCCCGCCCAAATTTTTCATCTGGAGGCAAGCCAATGTTTCCTTAAGTCAAACGATTGCCAATTGCACTATTTCGTAAACACACTTCCATCACTAACTCTCCCATACTGTCCTACATCTACAGCAAGGAACCTTTTATTACCGTCGACTAATGCCAACAAAACAATTAAATGGTACTTCTTGTAGTTGAAATATTCGGAGCCTCTCAATTGAGGAGCCTTAATTCTAACATGTTTGCCATCAAGTGAAGCAACACAGTGAGGAAAGTTCCATCTTTCTCTGAAAAAGTTTTTGGAATGCTCTCCAAATCTCTTCATTTGGCTCAGGCATAACTATAGTTATGTTAATCTTACTGTCTGTAGATCTACCCATACGATAAGTAAATGCCAATTGATCGGAACGATTTTTTTTTGTTGCGAGGTACCTTGATAAAAGGACTAAAATTTAATTTAATGTATTTGTTTAATAATTGTTTAAAAATGCTGCAACCTTAAGTTGCACCTGATGATCTAAGGGCGGATTGGAAAAAGCTACAAGATAGGTTACAGGCAGGCTATGTTAAGAAGAAGAGCTAAAAGTGGACAAGCTGCAAAGAAAATGAAAGTCTGGAAGTATGAATTGCAGATGTCCTTCTTGCTGGCGGATACCATTCCACGAAGGTAAGTAATAGAACAGTGAAGAGGGGAAAAGAGGAGATATGATTATTGTATTATCCTTTACAGAACAGATTCGAATGTTGCAACAGTGCAGAACGAGGGTGATAAGGAGGATGATGACGACTTTCGTCATCGTTGAACTAAACGCGACAGGTGGCGGCAATGAAGAAAACGAAAAAGAAGAGACAGATGGTGGTGAAGGACAAGGCTGAAAATGAGCAAGAGGGACGTAGCAGAATCTTTAGTAAGCGAAAGAGAAAAGCTAGTTAAAAGAAAATGAACAGGATGTTAATAAAGTGACTATCGTTTATGAAGGAGAGAAAACAAGAAAGCAAAAAGTTATTAGGTGAACTTGATTACTTCTTTACTAGTGCCTGTGAAAGTCCGAAGCGACTGCCCTGACATTTACAGTTGAGAGTAAAGCAAGAGAAGTGATGAACACAATTTTAAATGCTAGAAACGGAGTCCCTGAGCTTTACTCCGGCATCTGTTTCTGCACCATCGTCAGCCACTAACATCAGTGCACCACCGTCAAGGGCTGCTTCATCACTTACCTACAATTCATACGAGACGGAAAAAAAGCTACAATAATCAGCATTACGATTATGATGCTAATTATGATTTAAACGGCAGAAGGAGAAAATAACTTTTCGTGTAAAACAGTGATTAATATTAATATTATTTTATTTTCATTAACTTTTGTACTTCATTAACAAGTCAAAAAATATATCGTTTTTATCAACAGCACGTTTTACTTACCTCAAGCAAAGAGCTAATCGTTCTTCTGGTGGTATACTGTCCCTATAGTTAAGGTTCTTCTTTTCGATGTCGTCTTTGATAATTTGTCAAAATATTGTTAAACTGGGTTTGGGTCATTCGAAAATATTCTTTAAACTTAATTTCCTTACTCACGCAACTGTTTCATTAGATGATTATATTCACCACATTCTTTCCTTTTTAAGTTGACGTTATGAACCCAATTTCTTTTACGTTTCTTCTTACTACATAATGCTAAAAGCAACAGTACATCATCTTCGTCGGAAGAACCATCGCTGCTTTGCCAGGGTACACTATCCACCAACATGATCTTAATAAATGAAAAAGCCAGACTGAAATATTTTCGTAATAAAGAAACGTAGCGTTTGGTCTGGCCACCCAACATAGCAAACATAGCGAACGTAGCGTACATAGCGTAGCTTTCTGTCTATGCCAAGACGTAACTTCGCGCCAAATTATACACAGGTTTGGTGATACTGAATTTACGTCTAATAAATTAGAAAAATAAAACATGTTCTATTTCTTCAATTTCTTCACAAAAGTTATTCATGAATTTATTGACGGCAAAGTTCAAGATGACGGCAAGATGTCAATTTGTGCTTTACACCCGTCAAATTTGACATTGAAGTGACTTCAAGCGACTTCATGAATTTATTGATGGTGTAAAGCCCGTATTATAGCTATTTTATAGCAATTATTGATGGGTTCATTTTATAGAAATTTGTTATAAAATGTTTTTGTAGATATGTGAGGAATTTAAATAATTTGAAGTTTTTAAAAATTATTTTGTAGAAATATATTTATTCATATCTAAAGAATTTAATTGATTAGTTGAATAATTGACTTATTGAAGTGTGATGATGATCATGATTGTGATTAGGATAACATAATTTTAAATTTCGTATAAAAGAATCTCGCGCAGACCGAATTCGTCAAATCGAAAAATCATGAATTTAAGATTAATAATATTTTGTTCGTTGCTATACGTTGCAATTAAAGGGGTAAGTTTTATTTTGCTTAATTTATTTTATTACATTTTCCTCTTATTTTATTTAAAAACAAACAAATCCAACTGTGTTTCATGTTTTTTAGGGTATGTATGTTTCTATCGAATTGACCACTCGAACTGGCAAGAGGTCCTTCTTGTCGGCCCCTTGCAGTATATTCGTTCCAACTTTTTTCGGTAAATTAGTCCCTCATCTCAATCCAAACTAGAATCCTATTCCTTAAGGAGATAAGAGCTTCTAGTAAGAAATATATTCCACTTTACTTAACTCAGGCTGGCATAGAAAGTTCTCCTCTGGCAGTACCAAGAACTACGGCCCTACCTGCGGTCAGCTACATATCGATGAAGTTGTGCATTTTGTTTTTTGTTATGTAAGATTTTATATCATAGAAAAAACTGTACTGTACAAAAATGATAGTAGTTTACATGGGTAAATTGTTGAGCATAGTGGAAATTTTAATATTCTCAGCATCAGCTCTGAATGGCATGATGAAGCTTGGGTTATACAGTTTACTTTAATTGCTACCGATATTTAATTTTTTTGTTTCAGTTAGAAGGCTACGTCTCTTTGCAAATTTTAGTCCGTCTTTTATTCCTTGCTCTATTGGCTCTAATTTACTACAATTTCAAGTAGCTACCTTTAATATATTCGGTATTCAAACTATTTTATTTGCAGCAAAAACGTGTATTTTTTAATAAAATATGTTTAAAATATTATATTTTCTATAAATACTTTTTTTCTAGGTGTTTTCATCCCCTGTAAGTGGAGCGCAGTCCGAAGAAGATGATTTAATAGTTGAATTGGAGAATTTGGGCAAAATCCGTGGACATATTCTTCAAAGTTCCGAAGGAAAGGATTTCTATGCTTTTCAAGATATCCCTTATGGAGAATCCACAGCAGGAAATAACAGATTTAAGGTAAAAATTTTTAATGACTAGTAATTTAGATTCCATTCACCAAATAAAAACTGGTTAGGAACTATAAAGATTTCTTTAACAGCCTGGCAAAAGACAGCAAAGTGTCTTTAATATGAGTACCAAGCCACGAAGAGTTGCGTGGGAATGAACGAGCAGATTTGTTTACAAATCAAGGCTCCAGAGAAACCCTTTCTAGGCCCAAAACCATTGTATGGCATCACCAAAGATGCTACAAGAAATGAGATTGATTGCTGTATCAAAAATAATGGAGAGCCACTCAAGTTATAATCCAGACTAAGAAAATATTCAAGAATATTGATTTAAAACTGTGGGACAATTTGATGAATCTTAATAAAAGAAACATTAAAACTGTCACTGGAAAGGTGACATGATTTTGTCGTTTAACACGTTAAATGCCACGAAAAGCAAGTGTGCATCTTATACACTTAGTGACGCCACGAGAAGCACCGTTACATCTTATACCCTTAGTGTATTTTAGGCTACGTGGTACAACCGTGCTTTACAATACCGATTTATGTATAGGGAATACATTTTCTCAGTAGCCTGATGCATTATTTTATATTAAAAATGATTTCAATATAATTAATATAATAAAAGGATACAATTTAAATTGATTTTTATATGAGTTTGTTGTTCATGAATTTCATGAAGCCATCACAATGTGGGGTCGACTCTGAAATAAAAGAGAGAAAAAGATTAGTAAATTGTAAATAAATTAATTTTGACTTACCTGGTATAGTGATAATAATTTCTGAATAGTATAGTTGCCTAGTGTATAGGTGAATCGTCTAAACCTTAAAAAAGAAAAAACAGAAGAAGAATTCTTAAAAAATATTTTAACATAGAAAGTTTAAAAAATAAATGAAGAAAATTTATTTAAAGTGTCAAGCAAGTCTGTATGACTAAATTAATAGGGGTTTTGTTAAATAAGAAATTACAATGATGTGGAGATGAAAAGAATAAATTGTAAATAGAATAAGTTTTATATCTGAACATTTTTTTTATATTCCCAAATTAGATTTGATTAAAGTGATTATGAGAAATTAATGTAGCTTGACAAATGTGTCAGAACGGGACAGTTTTATGGTTTAAATAAATTTTAAATAGAAGACGAAAAAAAGAAAAAAGAACGTTGGTTGCGGTTAGCAAGGGAGAAGATATTTTTGGAGATGCCGACGCTAATTTTAGACCTCCTGCCCCGAAACTGTGGAATAGGCCGGGAGTGTTTTCAACTCGTCTGATTAAAATTTAGTTTTTTCCACAGCTTCCAGTATTTTGGAAGAGCAGAGATATCCAGAATTTGTTCCAGAGAGTAAGAGAAACAATTTGAGTTATAAATTATTATTGGAGTACAGAAATTTAATTGAGATTGAGAAAATTAAAATTCATGAATTAACTGAATTATGATAGGCCTTATAAATTGAAAAATATTAATGATCATTAAATTAAAACTAGAGTAGTACGTACCTTAAATTCCGAAGAGAGGATTGATATTCCAGTTTCACCGATTATTTTGCGAGAAGTTAGTTTTCTTTAAAGAAATCAGAACTGTTTTAAAGTGAGGTTGGATAATAATTTAGGGGATCATTTGTAATTTTGATTATATTTGAATGCAAGTTGAAAGTCAGCGGAATAAATGTTCAGTTTCTTTTTGTTTATAGTTCATTTAAACACTTTATAAAGTTGCAACATTTATTTAGATTTCAGGTACTTGCAGAAAGTCTCCACATTTTGTAATCGATTTTTATTGTCACGACACTAAACCATATTAAGGTTTACACGATTCCTATTTTTGTAAATTTGTAAAGGCAACCCAAGTTGCAAACGAATTTTATTGTTTAAAATAAATTTGTTCAATATTAATAAATAACGTGCTTCATTTGGGTTAATTTATCAAAAGTCTAAAGTAAATTTTGGTTTAATTTCTGTTTGAAACTCTACCAGGAGACTACAGACCACAGAAAATAAAAATTAATAAAACATAAACCTTTTCAATATAATTTGGCCTGCAGTATCTAGCAATAAATCAGTATATTATTAGGTTGAAACTAAGTTTTATTCATCTACAACGTAAAAGCCTGTTTTTAAGCATACGATTAGTAAAAGTCCTTTAAAATGAGCAATACATGTTTTAAGTTAACAAATAAATGAAAAAATACAATGTATGTGTACAAATGCCTACAGATTACATTAATAAACCTTGCAAAAGCACGTAGTACCAAAGAATGTATTCCACTGAATGTACCTGCATCGAGGAAAGGGAGTTTTAGTCTGTGCAAATGTTCTACCATTACCTGCTGAATTTTTTGCGTAACATGTGACACATCTTCTTCTGACAGAATTTTGCATTTGCTCTATAATGCTTTACTTCACCAGCATGCGGTATCTGTTGCTCTGGATTCTTATGAATTCTAGCATTTGGACCATGACTACCTATATTCAACCTCTGATATGCATCTGGATTATGTGTTGGGGGTCTCTTATCATACATCTCAAAACACTCAGCTTTAATACCTGAGTCTTAAACACTGAATGTAATATTTTTCAAGTTCTGACCATCTACATTCTTTCATATCAAAGATGCGTTATGATTAATCGCAATGTCATTGTCTTTTGAAGAGTTTTCATCATCTAGCAGTCGACATTGCGAAATATCATTTTAAATGGTATCGTCTGGTGTTCCTGAGTTTTGTGATATTGAGATAAATTTTGTAAATGCACTTTTGGTCTTCCACTTTCCGGACGATGAACTACTTATTTCGTCATGACTACCTAATTCAAAATTTTTATCCCGAACGTTGTATCACCGTCATCGTCTGAAAAATATTTTCCACCAGCTTTTTCAAACGCTTCTGCTTTTATATTACACATTGAGAAATAATAGGACACACTGTACTACCTCGTGTATCGACAACTAACTAATAAGTAACACGTAGTGCATTCGTATTGCAAAAGTAACGTACACGTACGTGTGCTCCTCAACTAAAATAATTCTAAAAAACAATAAAAATGTAAAGCATAAATTCACTGGTCAACTAAGGATTGGACCAGATGAGATCCTAAAACTACCAATAAGGATACTGTTGGCCGTCCTTGAGAGCACAGAACTTATTTGAATTTAAATGAAAAAAAAAAATAGGATATAGTACAAAGGTCTTGTGACACAGAGATAAACGTGACTTGCCTGAATTAAAAAGAAAAAGAAAAAAATATGGTCTGGACTGTTATTTCCTTAGACTAATGGTCAAAAGAGAGAAATTTACAAGGCAGGTCAAAGCCAAAAAAAGCAGGCTTGGATGACAGATGATATACTGGATTTGATGGAACAACGGCGACTAGCAAAAACCAACGAAACACTTTACAATAGCATACAAAAAGAAATTCGACGTAAAATACGAGAAGCAAAGAGTCAACATCTAGCCAAACAGTGTCATGACATTGAAGAACTCGAAAAAAGATTAACATGTATAAAAAAGTAAAAGAAGCGGCTGGTATCTTCAATAAGAAAACAAAATGCATTGCTACAGGATGAAAATGGTAAAGTAATATTACGAAGTAGAGGACAAACTTAAAGAATGGGAAAATTACGTCACGAACCTATTCGAAGACGATAAGGAGTAGTTCATCTCCCGATATTACTAACTGCGACGGACCCCTAATAACACGCTGTGAGGTTACAAAGGCCATACAATCATCAAAAGATGGCAGAGCGACTGGTCCTGATGAAATTCCAACTGAAATATATAAGCTTATAAAGGATAGCAATGTTTTAGAGGCTATAACTTCGTTTTTCAATACCATTTATACCAGCGGACAACTACCTAATGGTTGGTTTAACTCACTGTTTATAGCTCTACCTAAGAAGACAACAGCAAAAAACCTGTGCTGATTATAGAACCATCAGTTTGTTAAACCACTTATTGAAAATTTTTCTGAAGGTAATACATGGTCGTATCTACAATAAATGTGAGGAATACCAGAATGACACTCAGTTTGGTTTCCGTAACGGATTTGGAACGAGAGAGGCACTGTTTTGGAATGAACGTACTTGCTCAGAGATGTCGTGATATATCTGTAGACATATACTGTTGTTTTATTGACTTTCAAAAGGCATTTGATCGTGTTAAGCACTCTATAATTGATCGAAGCTCTAAAAGACATTGGCTTGGACGGCAGAGATGTTCAAATAATTGCAAATTTGATATTGAATCAAACAACATCAGTTTTAGTAGATGGTGTGGAATCACAAGCTCTCAATATTAAAAGAGGAGTACGGCAGGGATGCCTCTTGTCACCCCTGCTTTTTAACGTTTACTCCGAAAGAATTTTCAGAAAAGCACTTTCTGAAAAACAAGAAGGAATACTTGTGAACGGCGAAGTCATCAATAATTTGCGATATGCGGACGATACAGTACTCCTAGCTTCTAGTCAAGAAGATCTGCAAAACACTACTTGATAGTGTCGTTGAGAGTTGTAGGAGGCAGGTCTGGATCTTAACATAAGGAAAACCAAAATACTCGTAATAAGTAAACAACAGAATATAAAACCGTCTATATATGTAAATAATATCAAACTTGAGCAAGTTGATAAAATCGTCTACCTTGGACAGCAATTAAATTGTAATGCAGAAAATCACGGCGAAATTAGATCCAGAATAGAGCAGGCTAGAGCTGCTTTTAGAAGGATGTCCAAGGTGTTATGTAACAGAGACCTAAAATTGGCATTAAGGATCCGCCTACTTCGCTGCTACGTGTTCTCGGTCTTACTTTATGCTGTCGAGTCCTGGACTGTGAATAAAATCGATCTAAATCGCCTTGAGGCTTTCGAAATGTGGTGCTATAGAAGAATTTTAAAAGTTTCCCTGGGTGGAGAAGATTCGTAACTGCACAATACTAGAACGTCTCAGCAAGACTACTGAGATCATAAAAAGCATCAAGCAGAGAAAAGCTGGAATATTTCGACATGTAATGAGAGGGTCC